TATCGTTTACAACATCAGGTACGCCAGTAGGTAACCCAAAATAACAAGTTGTAGTATCGTTTGTTATAGTTCCGTCAGAATGACCGATGTTCTTTGTAAATACAGCTTGAATAGGCTTAAATCTAATATCTCTGTTTTTCCATAAAGTTACAGTTTCATTTAATCGTTTATCATCTTGACTTGCCTTAACTAATCTAAGAGTCAAAACTCTTTGTCTGCCTGGTTCATTGTGTGCGCCTAATCCGTTTCCATTATAACCAGTAGTAACAGTTGCAAGTTCATTAGGTGCAGTTAATTCTGCTACTGTACCGTCAGCAAAATCACTCAAAGTAAATTCACCTTGATAATCGGTTAATTGTAGCAAATCTATACTTGTATAACTATCTGCCATTTTTATATCTCCTATGCTTCAATATATATCATAATATTAGCGTGTTCAATAGCACCTGCTCTCTTAGCAGCAATACTTATTACAGGACACTTACGAGCAACTCGTTCATCTTGTGGTTGTTCGTATATCGGTGTGTAGTAGTAATAATATCCATTAGTTCTAATACCTCTATGGAAATCAGCTAAAATACCAAAAGTATCAGGGCTATTCCATTCACCTGCTGCAATCATACCATTTGTAACGCCTTGGTTTAAGATTCTAACTATTGCGCTAATCAAAGAATTAACGCCAGCTGTTGTTTGAGGTATTTTTCCTCTTGTTGTAAATAATACATTCGCAACTGCTATTTGAATCGCAACTCTTAACCAAATATCGTCAACTAATTCATCAAAATAATATCCACCTTGAGGGAATGAAATTACCTTAGCGATACCTTCAATAGAACAATAAACATCAGCTCCTATGTTTTCACATTTTGCCAATATTGTTTCAGATATATTATTATCTACTGGCACACCAGCTAAGTCTTTATATGTCATTGTGATAGTTGAATTAGCACCAGAATAATTTACTGATAATCCTCTTGAAGCAAAAGCAGAAACAAATAATCTTGCATTTTTTCTCTTTTCATCAGCATTTGTACCAGTAAGATAAAGCAATTTTCTTGTTTTAAAATTATTTTTCAATTGATAGAATAATCCACCTTGCTCTAAAGAATTAGAATCAATAGATGTAATAAACAAAACCTTATCTTCTAATCCTTGTACTGTAGTAGATGCTTCTGCTATTTCATTATCTTGAACATCTTTTGCAATCAAAATACCTTCAAAATAAATTTGAGAAGATAATCTAACAATAGCTTGTGATATTGTTTCTTCATCTTGCAATTTCGCACAGATTACATAACCATTATTATTTAAAATATTAGGATTTTGCCCAAAAATAGCATTAACCATATCTGCTATTTTGCTTTCAGTTCCAAAAGCATTAATAACAGACTTACTATTTCTAGCAATCATATAATCGCCTTCGTAAGCGTTTGCCACTTCATCATCTGTCAATATTAAAATTGTGCTTAGTTGTTTTTGTCCTATCCCTACAGAGCCAGCAACTACAGAGGCATTTACAACATAGCTTAAAGGTATTTGATAATTTGCCATAATTTTTATTCTCCTTTTTATTTAATTATACTATACAAAGAAAAAGGTAAATTTTCATTACCTTTGAAAGAAAAAAGACCCAATAAAATAAGAAAGAGATTTACATATTAATTTCTGTTTTTGTAACAACATTAGAGTTTCCATTTTCCCATAATTCAAATTTAAACTTGTCATAGTAATCTATATTGCTTTGTTTTTCATATGCTCTAATTACTCTACAAGTTACATCAAATCTATTCATTCTTGATGTTGCTTCTAAGAAAGAATTATCTAATACGTCACCAGTAGTAGAAATATGGAATTTGTATTTTTCTTGTATTTCGTGAGAAAATACCGAATTGAGAGCCATATAAACTTCGTGTACTCTATCCCTTGATTCTGTAGTACGAGAAATAAGAGCAATTTCAATGTCTTCAACCACGTTATAATTTTGTATAACATTATATCTATCTGTTTCATCTTTTAAGCGTATATTGTTAGCAAATGGTGAACGATTGCCAAAATATAAAACAATAAACAGATTGCCGTCTTTAGGCAAATCCTCTGAATTATCATATGCGAAACATCTACCAGTAGGTAGATTCATTTCTTTATCTAAAATCTCTTTTATATAATCTAATGTGCTTGTCATAGTTGTTCTGCCCTATACGCTTCTAAAATAATATATTGAATATAACCATATTTTGAATAATCTTTTTTAGACATAATCTTATAATGCTTATCGTCATATTTTATAAAATTGTTTACTTGCAAATCTGCATTAGGTAAACAATGCAACATTAACCATTCCCAATTCCAAGTGCCTTCTGGCAATATTTTTAAATCAATGTCACTAGGTGGTTGAACTACACCTTTAGTATTTACTCTGCCTACTGTTACAAGTTGCCAGTCAGCACCTACTAATTGTCTTTCAGCTTTTTCTAAAGTGATGTTCAAAAACCAACTTGTAATAGTATTAGACATATTAGGTAAGTTGCTATTTGTATTATTTAGTTTAAAATTGCTTGCGTTTTGTATCATTATTTAGACCTTTTTTGTACTTTAAAACTTATTGAATGTCTTAGTTTACCAGTATCAGTTAATATATTAGGATTGTGTATTTGTTGTATGTAATTATCTAAAGTATTTTTATCATATTGTGTTTTACCACTTAACATTGCTTTTTCTATGCGATTATAATTCTTATAAGCTTTTTCAGAACGCTCTTTAAAAGTATTAAACATTAAAGGTTTCCACTTCCCAAATCCATTAGTTGCAAAGCCTTCTTCTATTATTTCTAAACATTTTGCGCCTAAGTCTTGTAAGAATATTTGTATATTAGGCTTAGTTTTTTGAAACATATTTTTAAACAAAGATTTTTTAATTTTCTTCATTTGTTCTTCATTGAATTTTAGTTTAAATTTTAAACTATCTTCTAAAAAAGAACGTCTAGGCATTTTCTTAGTCCCAAACTCGTGGAATGTACCTATTTCAGCGTTTGTTTTTCCACTTTCTTTGTCGTGTGAACCTTTTGCTTTACTGCCTAGAACACCTACTCTTAAAAAGTATTCTTGTTTTAATGACCTTATCAAATTGTCAAGATGTTCTGTATCATATTTTATATTTGTATCTTTAGCCACAAGTTGAGCCACCTCTGCTGAACAATACAGTACAAGCCAAATATGGCGCAATTAAACTCAAATATTTTAAGCCGTAGCCATTTTGACCGTATAAAGAATACATTGGTGAATTTGTTAACCAAGTAGGTATTGCGTAACTTTCTGATACATTTCCTACCGATTTACTAGCAACTAGACCAGCAAATTTTGAATTTATACCAGCAGAAGAATTAGCAATATCAAAACACAAATAAAAAGCTACGAGGTGCAAATAAATATTAGTAGCAGTACAACAATCATCGCCCCAATATTTAGCGTTACAAATAGCTTGTGTCATAGCCTTTTGTATATCTTCATCAGTAATGTAGTTATAAACATCTTCTTTGATGATTTTCCACGCTAAAGTATCATCTAGTTCGGAAGTATTATTATCAATCAAAGACTCATAAAATAATTCATTCTCGTCATTATAAACTACATCATTTTTAAAATAGTGTTTATATGATACATAAATAGGTAAAAAGGGGAAATCTCTTCTGAAATAATCCTTAAATTGTTCAACTGTAACCGTTTTAAAAAATTGTTCCATAGTTTTATTTCCCCTTATTTTACTTATTTTTTCTTCGTTGTTTTAGTTTTAACAACTTCTGTAACTTTTTCTTCAATAACTTCAATATAAGGCAATTTAGCCCATATTTTAGCTATGTGTTCAGCGATTTCTTTAATTTCATTAACTTTTAATAAAATTGTCTTTCTGCCTTCTAAGTGTATTAAGTTGTTTAAACCATTATTTTTCAACTTCATCATTACCCACCTTATGCTTGTTCGTCTAAGTATAAGAATGCACCAGGACGTTTAACTTGTACGCCAGTGAATTGACCTTCTGCATCAGAAATCATATCCAAAGAACCTTGAGCATACAATGGGTGTGGAGTGTATGCTTTAGGAATGTACATAACAACATCTTCAGTGTTGTAAAGTGCGTGACGACCTTCGCCAGTAGCAGCTGCATTGTTAGCGTATAATGCGTGAACAATTTTGAAATCAGCTGGAGCACCAGCAGCTTTAAGAGCTGTTTCAAGTACATCTTTAACAGTTGGCATACCGAATGTAGAACCATAAGGAACACCTAAAGCCATAAATGTAGCAGTTGGCATTAACCATCTGTTAGGCATTACAGCACCATTAGCGTTAGCAAAGAATGTAGATAACAAGTTTCCAGCTAAAGTTTTTAATTGAGTTTCAGACATAGCTTCAATACCTACTGGTAATAATGAATTATCAATAGTTACGCCAGTTTGATTCAATAAACCTTTAGTTTGAGTGCCTACAAGACCTTCAAATAACACTTTTTGAATACCTAAATCCCAGTTTTTCTTACGAGATTTTTCTTTTTCTTGAATGATATCAAAACCAACTCTATTTACAGCTGCCATTCTAACTTCTTCATTAGAGATAGAATATTTTTGTCTGTAGAAGTTGTTTTTGATTGTAATATCACCAATAGTGATATCAGCAGTAGCATCGTTATGAATACCAGTAGAAGCTGGGTTAATGATACATTGTTCAAATGGTGAACCTACGAAAGCAGATGTAAATTGAACGATGTTACCCATATAAGCACCACGACCTACGTCAACAGTAACGAAATCAGAAGGTGTTTGTCCTGATAATTCATAGTATTTTGCTTCAACTACGCCTGAAACGATATCAGTAATAGTATCAATTGTTTGAACTAATCCAGCGTTTGGAATAGCGAAATCATTGCTAGCTTTTAAAACTGGTTCAAGGTTATGAGCCAATTCGTTAGCATAAGCATCAATATTAAATAATTTTGTCATTGTTTAACTCCTATTTGCTTGCCTTGATTTGTACTACGATTAAATCATCAACTGCAGATGGTTGAGTAATAGCGATACCAATATAACCATTAGAAGCTGTAGTTGTAGCTGCAACTTTGCCATCAGCAGTAAATTGTAATTTGTTACCTCTTTTGATTGTAGCTGCATTAGCTGGTAAGTAAACATAACTGTCATCTGGGAATACAGATACCATTTCTCCAGCAGCAAAACCAGTTTTGATTGGGTTGTAAACTACAACACCCAAAGGTAAATCAGTAGCAGCAGCTTTTTTAACTACTACTAATGTATCAGAACCAGCTTGGTCTGATAAAGCAACAATGTCACCACATTTCAAAGTGTTTTCATTTGCAACGTGGCAATTGTGCAAAATTGGTTGATTTGGCAATAATGCCGCTTGTCCAGCATATAAGCCAATAGTTCTGTTAGTTAATCCTATTGCCATTTTTTATCCTCCTAAAATAATTCTTTACCTAGCTCAATTGCTCTTCTTTCAGTGATGTAAGTTGATTTAACTTTTACTTCACCTTCAAGGATAGCATTTTTCGCTTTTTCGTTTTCTTCTTTTTCAGCTTCATTTTTAGCTTCTTTTTCAGCTTTTAATTCTTCATACAATTTTTTGTAGTCAGGTTCTTCGTTTTTGCATTTGTTTTCTGCAACTTCTTCTTTTTCTTCTTTTACTTCTTCCTTAACTTCTTCTTCTTTTTTTTCAGCTTCATTAGATGCTGTAAGTTCAGTTAAGCATTCCATAAAGATAGATTTCATTTCTTCTCTATCCATTTTTTCCTCCTTTTTGAATAAGTTTTTGAACATAGAGTTTTCCTTTATTTCGTTTATTGCTTGTATTATATCATTTTTTGCTTTATTATCTATATAAGATAAAATCATATATACACTATCGTCAATAGGTTTTAAAAATTCTTTCATTGCATTTTTATCTTCACCAAAATATTTTTTTATAATATTTTCGCTTTTATCATAAATTTCATCTAGTTTACCTTCTTCTTCTAAAATCATAGGTTTTTTTGATAAATCTTTTATTATTTCGTCTATCTCACCAGAACAATCTTTTACTTGTTGTTCTAATGAGTTATTAATAATTTTTGTAGAAAATCCGTGTTTACTTTTAGTTGTTATAGTAGTGTTTTTTACATTAAACATATTTTCTTTTATTTTATTTTTTAAATCTGTTAATGTTTCAATATTATATTCTTGTTTATATTCTTTTAAAATTTCTTTATATTTCTCATCTTCTTTTCTATATTCTTTTTTTAATTCTTTAATTTGTTTGTCAAATTTTTTATTAATATTTTTTTCTGGATTATAAAAATTAACCTTTTTTAGTTCTTCTTGTCTTTTAGTTTCAATTTCTTTTATTTTTTTATCTAATTCTATTTTATTTTCTTTTCTAATTTCTGAAAATATTTTTTTAGTTTCTTTATATTCATTTTTATCATTATTTTCATCTTCGATATAATCCATAGGTATGGCGTGAGCTGACTCACCTTCGCCAACAGTTACAAATTCTTTCTTGTCGTTTACTGCTTGCATATCTTCTCCTAACTCTAAAGCATTTACAGCTATCATTGCATTCTCATATCTAGGATTCTCAACAATAGCTAAATGTTCAGGACGTCCATTTAAAATGACTTTGTCATATTCATTACCATTATGCAATTTGCCTTCTTTGTTGACAGAATATTCAGTAATTTCGTATTGACAAGATACATTATAACCTTTGTCAATAAGATTTAATGCTTCTTGTTCAAAAATTACACCTTCTGCCCAATACCAACCATCATATTGATTATATTCAACCTTACTGATAACGCCTACTCTATCATCTTTTGCGCTTTCACTTGTCACATCTTTGTGATTGATAATAACTGGACAACCTTCAAATTGATAAACAAATCTATCTATTGTTTCTTTTTCCAATAGGCACACACCAAAAGAATATTTTACAAGTCCAGCTTGTAAAAATCTAGTTCTAAAAGTTTTACCCTTGCCACCTACATTATCATCAAGTAATATTGCGTTGCTTGCTTTTTCTTTCCACTCAAACATTATTTTTTATCTCCTAAAACGATATTTAATATCGCTAAATCGTTTTGCAGTTTTGTACCAATACGACCTAATAAATCACTATCGCCTACTGACACACCAGTAAGGCTTTCAAGATGTACTAAAGTATCTATAACTATGTTTTTTATTGCCAATAGTGAAATATCATCAACTACATATCTACTAGATTCTTGTAAATAATAAGAACTATTTTTAACCTTTTGACCTTTAGCCAAAACGCAATTTTCTTTAATCTCGTCAACAAAGCCGTTTAAATCTTCTTGCATTCTATCAGCTAATAAGTGAATAGAATAATCTGCAATATCATAATGAACATTCTTAGATGTTCCTTCAATAGCCATTAATAATACTATAAGTTTATCCATAATTTTAACCTCTAGTATAATTATACACTATCGAACATACTATCCCTTCTAATAGGTAGATAAAGCTCTTTCTATACTCCAACCTCTATCTAATCGATTTGATATTAAATTTTTAGAAAATCCCAAAATTTCGGTCCATTCACTTATACAATGTGTTTCTCCATTATATGTAATTTTTTTAACTCTACAAGTATTTCTTGATTGTTCTTTAATTGTTGTCCACCTACAATTATCAGGACTATAGCCTTTATCGTTATTAATCCTATCAATAGTTAAATCATCTTTATATCCGTTATTTAAAGCCCATTCAAAAAATTTATTTCTATCATTTAACCATTCATCACAAATAGTTATTCCTCTAGCACCGTAACGATGATAATAATTATTTTTGGTGTTATAACAACGATTTTTCATTTTGTCATAAATTCTATATAACCTCGAATTGCTTAATCCGTGTATAGTCATAATTTCTTTATGTAAACAACCACAAGACTGGGTATGACCATTATTTAATTTTTCTCTATTAATTACTTTATAATTTCCACAATCACATTTACATAACCAATAATAATAAAAGCCCGATTTTTTATTTTTATAATATCTTTGTTCTTTATGGTCTAATTTAATTACAGTTAATTTACCAAATCTTTTACCCGTTAAATCAATATAATTTGTCATAAAAAATACTCCTTCCGTTGAGCAATCCGAATTGTAATGGGGAAGGGTAATCGGAATTTTACCTTTTCACTCCGTCGAGTTATCCCCATAAACATTATATTACAAAAATTACAAATTATCAAATGGACTATCAAGTCTTATAGGAATTAAAGAACATCTGCAATTATAATCAATTGCACCAGGTAAGCCTTTTGTTATACGTCCATCTTCTGTAACAACAGTAGGAGGTTCATCAAATCTAAAAATTTTTCCATCAAGTTTATAATGTGATAATCTTTCACGTCCATCTTTAATAGTTACCCATTTAAAATGAGTAAATCCCATTTCGCTATACATTTCTTTTTTGATTTGCGCAAGCAATAATGATGTTTCATTTTGTGCTAAGAATTTAGCTTTATTCATAGCTTGTACTTGTTGCTTTTTGATTATGAGTTTTAAATCAGCTTTATTTACGTCTTTAGGCAATTTTATACTTTTAGTAAGTTCTTTATAATATTGAGTTGTTAAGATTTTCTTAACATCTGCTTCACGCCAACCACCTAAGATTAATTGTTGCACTTGTTGTCGCATTTTTAAAATGCTTTCACCAGTCCAGTTTTTAATAGACAATTTTATGTTATTAGTGTACTCATCAGCGATATTTTGTATTTGTTGCTCTGATAGTTCAGGCTCAATAATATTCAAATGTTTAATATTTTTTCTAACCTGCTCTTGTCCGTCTTTGCAAATATAGAAAACTTCCTCATTAAAAAGAATAGTATCAATATAACTATCTATATTAACTTGAAAATCTTGTAACAGAGTATCTATTGCCACCATACGTTCTAAGTGTATTTTTTGAGCAACTTGAATCTCATCAAGCAACCAATCAGGCATAATTTTAAAAACATAGCCTTTTAATGTTTTATCCCATTTTGCGCCTAGCTTTTCAAAATGCAACGAGAGGTCATTAGAAAGCTTTTTAACAGGTTTAAATACTCCGTCTTTGTAAATTATCACGCCATTAAGTAAAGCCTCTTTAATGATTGAATTATCATTGTTAGCCTTATAGTTTAATGTTTTGTATAAAGGCTTAAAAAAATTGTCGTTAAAAAACGACATTATGTTAGAATATATGAGAGCCTTATATTTTTCTCTAAACTTTATATCTTTAATTTTCATTATCGCTTAAATCCAAATCGTCCATTTCGCCTTTTATAGCTTTAGTATCGTGTATAACGATATTTTCTTTTTTAAGCATTTCCATTAGTTCTTGTGGTGTGATAATTTGTCTGTCAAATAATTTTAACAAATTATCCATTTTTTGATTGTGTAGATTCTGTTCGTCTAAAGATGACATATTACGCAAAGGCTGCCAATCTACAAATATATCTTCTAATTCTCTACCGAACAATTGATAACATCTAACTTTCAAAATCCAGTAGATAGTATCTTCATCAATTGCCCTTACTTCACTTTCAATAGATGAGTTGTAATGTTCTAGTGTATCTTCACCAGAGCCAAAACCAGTAACGCCTTCACCCCAAAGCTTGCTGACTGGTATATTTGCACTGCCAGCCATCATAATTCTGATTTCTTTTAGTATTTCAGACATACCAGCGAAATGTATTTGTTTTTGTTCGTACTCATCATCAGTAGAAATGGTTATTTGTGATTTATAGTTTTTGTTGCGTGAAATCATATCAACCATTCTTTGTACTGCTCTTTCACCAGTACCAGACATCAAAGCAGATTGCAAAGCACCTAATTTCAAAACATCAATCTTTGCTTCGTCCATCAATTCAAACAAAACATTTCTTGCTTTGAAGAATTGCGACATATCTTGAAATATTTGCTCATATACAGAGATTCCCCAACCTTGAGTCTGTTGTTGAACTAAATAAGGCGCACGTTTACCCTTAATTATATGAACTCTTGAAGGGTGTATTTTATAAGCTAAACTATCATCTAATTTGCCATAATTAACTAATTGCCAGTAGCCACCAGTGATATCAATATTAGGCTTTGAATAAACTAATTGCCATCTATCTACTGCAATAAACTCAATATTTTCATTACCTTTTAAGCTATTCCAACTAATAGGTGATGACATTTCTTTTCCATCTAAAACAATCAAAGCTGCACCACCGAACAATCTCGCCCATTTTCTAGCTTGTTTTAATTGTTCTATATCGTGTTTCTTACGCATTTCACGCTCTAAAGTGTCAAGCTCTATATCATTTATACTTTCAGCTTTGATAGCAAAACAATTAGGCTTATAAGCATCGTCTACTGGTATATCTACCACTTTTGCCAAAGTGCCATAAGTTTTATAAAGTGAAGTTATTACCATTTGTTGCAACGATAACAAATCAAGTTTAATGTTTTTAAAAGCATTCATAGGTGATAAGCTTGCTTGTTCGTAACAATCATAATCAGTTAATCTTAACGCTTGGTCTAAAGCGTTTTGTGCTTTTAGTCTGTTAGCTATTTTTGTTTTATTTTTACTCATATTCTTATTATACACCTTACTCATTTATGAAAAAATCTAAAATAGATACTTTTGTTTTTGCCAAACCTTCTTGAATTGCATAACATAAAGTATCAACAATATCATCGTGGATATGCGTATCATCTCTAGTAAATGCTTCACATTCATCTAATAATACTTTATTATTGCCATAATTTTCAGCATTAGGTAACAAAACCATACCACTTTCAATATAAGGTAGTGCATTTTCTGCACGAGTTAATTTATCTTTATCAGCAACCAAACCAATAACTGGTATGCCGTGTCTTTTTAGTTCTTGAATTAACCCAATACCACTTGCTTTATCTTCAACATATAAACCACTACAAGCCAATCCTGTTTCTGGTTGTAATTTCCACTTATTAAATAAATCAACTGCTACACGCTTAAGGTCAGGTGCTTCCCACTTTCCGTGTACAATTTCCAATATGTGTAAATGGTTATCATCTGTAATCCCATTGACAATAAAACAACTATAATCATTGTGTTCTTTTACTTTCATAGCTGTATCGGCTGTTATAAATATGCGTTTATATCTATATTGTAAGTTTGTAGGGTAATAGTTAAACCAGTCACGCTTGATAACTTGCCCACCTAAAATCATTGGTATTTGTTGATATTGCGCAGAAAACATATAGTTATTTTTCTTTAATTCTTCAATACGTTCTTGCGTGTATTGTGAAGGTATTTGACACACATCATTTTCATCTAATAATGGCTTTCTTAAAGTAACAAAATTATATTTTGCTTCTAATAAACCACTTAAATCGTCAACGTGTAATCTTTGTTGAATATTGATAATAGGCACGTATGGATTGTTTAAACGAGATAATAGCGTTTCTTCATAATATCTTAGAACTTTATTTCTCATTGTTTCAGAATGAATATCCCCCGGTTTATTCGCATCATCTAATACTAAAAAACCACTAAATTTTTTAGATGTTCTAATCCCAGCACCCATACCAGTTATTTGAGCACCAATAGAAGCAAATAAGCAAGTACCACCAGCGTAAGTAATAATTTTATCGCTAGAATATTTGTTTTTACCACATTCTTTTTTATGATATTGAAACCAAAAATCATCTATAGCATCACTTTCTTCCTCTGTGTACCAGTAGTTTTGTGGATATAGCATTTTAAAAGCTGGATTTTCTAATATTTCTCTGATTTCTCTAGCAATAGTTGATAATAAAAAACCAGAATAAGATGTATAAATAATATTGCTTTTTGGATTGTTTATAATACACCAAACAAGAAAATACTTACCAATAGTAGTTTTAGCAGAACGAGGTGGAACATTAACATTACACCTTAAAACCTTACCATTGTAAATATCTTCAAATAATTGAAATAACCCATCGTGGATAGGCTCTAAAATAAATGGTCTTCCTTCGCATAATTTGAATACATATAAAAACCAAGTTTTAAAG